GAGTAACACCCCTGCCATAGATTTGCAGTGCTTGAACCTCGAGCACCAGATCCAAGCATGTCCCATGTGTCTGCTGTGTCTGAGAACGTGCAGTGTCCAGCAGGGAGCAGGAGCACAGCCTCTGCAGTGCAATGACAGCAAGTCAAAGCCTTTCATTAGAAGCAACCTGTAGGAGACAGTGGGGGTGCCATATTTATAAATAAATAATGTATTAAATGACTGACCAGTTTGGACTGAAGGGACAGTTCTTTTTGTAGTGTAAGTGAAGTTGATAACTAGGAAGATCCGATTGGAGAAACGCAGCCGTGCCCTGATGTCACACAGTAAAATTGCTCTGTGCCCAGGGGCGAGTGCAAGCTGTCAGGGAAACCCACTGAGCTGAAAAATGTTAGCACTAAAGGCTTACAGTAGTTGACAAAAATAGGTAAAAACTTGAGGGAGGCACCACCCCTTGCTACACCATAATAGTTCTCTTTTAAATAGAAGGTTTAGTTTAAAATAATGTGGAAACCTGGTAATGCACCCAATATGCAATGTTTGATATGGTGCCCATATAAAGTAAGGATCTGTTTAACAGGAAGAAGCAGGAAATTTGCCAGCTAATATCAGATGCTATTGAAATATTTCACAGTGGCTTATACAGCATAGATGAGTGTCCCTGGTGGTGCAGTGGCTAAACCACAGCGTTGTCAACGCTGAGATCTGGGTTCGATTCCCGATTAGGACACTCCCCGGGCAGATGGAGCTCACTAGCCCTGTAAGGCAATCCATCTACGTCCTGAGGACCTCGCTGCCACTGTCCAAGCGTGCTTGGCCCCAGCAGATGAACCTCAGGATTAAAGGGTGGGCTCAGTTCCGCGCACACTGTGTCTCACCTAAAAAATCCAATGCGCAGGCTGGAAGGTGGAAAGACCTTCCCCGGTTCTTCGTTCGCGAAGAGACTGACCATTATACAGCATAGATTAGCAGTTCTCAGCTAGAGAAACCTGTTGATGTTTTCATGTTACTTTTATCTAAGTCTTGGTTATCATTTTAGATACTTTAAATTCAGCAGAAGTGTCTGCATTGTATTCTGGGATGGTCAGAAGTGCCCTGGCGCCCTGCGCACTGCAGGAATTCAGCCTTTCATGTGGCTTGGTTTCCCTGAAGGAGAGCTGCAGTGGGTCCTCACTGAAAGCACCTGCACTGGCCTAACTCCAGCACTGGTCTTTTACTTGCTGTAGCTCAAGAAAAATGTACTTGCTGTTTTCCATCTCCCTTTTCTTCTTCTCTGATAGTAAATTGATGACTTCAATATGACTTCCAGTTGGTTTTCTGACTTTCAAATACCTGTTTATTTAGGTGTTTTAAATTCCACCAGATTATCTTTCATTGGCTGGAGAGGTGTGAGCAAACTAGGCCATTGCACATACCTACTATTGGTATTAAGGCAGCGAGCTGAGCAGCTTAACTTTTACAGTTTTATAATGGCATGTTGTTTGCTTCATAAATATCTGTTATGTTGCTGTAATGATATTCTACTCTTAAAGGTGTTAATTTTCAAAGGCTGCAACCCAGTATGATCTCTGCCCAGCTTCTCATACTCCTGTTTTGTAAAAGACAGAAAAAAAAATTAGATCAGGAAACTTTGTTGGTCTCACAAGAACCTGATGAGTTTTAAAAGCAGTGAGGCTTATTTGTGTGCTTTCTGGTTACCTGAAGTATTGTTTTACAGAAAAATATTTGACAGGTGTACTTAAAGAAATGTATAAAAAAATTTCTATCGAATGTTTTAACAGGTTTGGAGAAAATCTAGATCTTTCTGTGTATTCACATCTTTCCAAGCATTTGGCAATTCCTAGAGCTTCTCTTTTATTAAAAAAAAAAAAAAAATAATAATAAAGACGGTTCACTCATTCCCAAAATAAATAATCTCTAACTGTTAATTTTCTTGAATATTCCATTTTGATTCTGGAAAATTCATGCTATATTTTGCTAAATTTGAATACTAGATCTCTTTCTTCAAACTCAGTAAAAAAAGAGTCACAGAACTCATTTCTTTTGGTTCAGTGGAAGGAATTTAGATTGCGTACATTTTACAAACCTTTCCCTTTCCTTGTTGATCTATAATATAAGCCATGAAGATGATGTTTTGCCCTTCAGTGGCACTAATGCTCCATAGCTACTTGGCAGTTTAGTCAGTGAGTGTGACATGTTAAACAAATGTGGGTGGCAGAAGCTTTGATTCCAGGGGGCTTGTCTACGAGTTGAGAGCTGTGGGGTTTCTCTGCTGTCTGCCCTGTGTTCTTCCAACTGATGGTGTCAGGAATAGGTTCTTTCTCCTCTTCTTAGCCGCATATTTTCATGACATAG